TACATTTTTATTGGGTTTTTTAAACATATCATTTCCAACAATCATTTAACATAACTTCTTATCTTATACAATATTTTTGACTTACGTCAACATCTGAAGATTTTCCGTTCTTTATCACTTGTTCTGCATTTCTTAATTTCTCTATTACTTTTAATTATCCTTAACTAATAATTCTCATCATAGTCTTTCTTGCAATATTTCAAATAGTCCTCCTTACAGAACTTCTTGCAGTCCTACTAGCGTAATCTGATTATTACAATTGCTTTTCAAATAGTTCAAATATTTACTCCAGTCTTCTAAGAATCTCTGATCCCACAGATTTCAAATCCTTCCAGTTAATTTATCTAATTCTGCATTGTCCACTTCCCACATCCTTCTCGCCAGCTTTCCAGCAGCATTTTTTGAAGCCCTGCTAAATGGACAGTTTGGTCTATCCAGCTCAGCAATGCTAATGAATTAAAGCTAACCCCTTACCCTGTTCGCCACTTCTGTTACAATTGCAGTCCATGCATTTAGAAGCAGTTTGGGTCATGATGCCACCACCTGAAATTAGATCCGCATTTTGGGAATGAGAAACAGGATCTGGGTGTCTCCTCAGCAGAGCTGCTGCTCACATAACCCTTTCAGAGCTGGTTTCTGCTCCAGTTGTAATTGCTCTTGGCACCAGTGCTATTTTCTTCTCCAGAGTGGCTGCCAGCTGGAGAGAGTCCCAGTCAAGGAGCCAGGATCAGGCTCCCTCCTTAGCAAACTTTGATCCGTATCAAAAAAACCAACAACCCTAACTTTGATCCATACCCACAGTCATAACTCCAGCAGGAATGCACTAGGGGTTAGTTGAGGTGACGGGAGCAAGTGAGTTTCTCTCTCTCTCTCTCTCTCTCTCTCTCTCTCTCTCTCACGTCCAAACAGCAGAGTGAAGCTCAGGTGATAAAGATGACTAAAGCAGTGAATGTGTGTCTGTGACAAAGATGTTTGTGCAGTTTGGACTCAGAACCTACTTGCTATCCTTCCCGCTGCTAAGCAAATCAGTCCCTTAAGCCAAGAAATTGTATTCTCTATGAAATTGAATATCAATATACGTATCAAGGCTTTGAGATTAGACCACTGAAGAAGCCCGGAAAACCACCTTGGGAGTGTGCTACCTGCAAGCCCCAGTAAAAAGGGCCCATCGGGGGGGAACAGCGGCCACTTGATTACTGGGACTGCCAGGGCGAAACAGGTTGCAAAACGCCGGCACCTGTCTACAACTTCATTAACATCCATCTACAACTTGTCAGCGGTTCGAATCCCCGTGACGGGGTGAGCTCCCGTTGCTCAGTCCCTACTCCTGCCAACCTAGCAGTTCGAAAGCACGTCAAAGTGCAAGAAGATAAATAGGTACCGCTCTGGCGGGAAGGTAAACGGTGTTTCCGTGCGCTGCTTCTGGTTCGCCAGAAGTGGCTTAGTCATGCTGGCCACATGACCCGGAAGCTGTACGCCGGCTCCCTCGGCCAATAAAGCGAGATGAGTGCCGCAACCCCAGAGTCAGTCACGACTGGACCTAATGGTTCAGGGGTCCCTTTACCTTTACAACTTCACTAGCATCTCTCGGTATTGTGAACAACACCGGACTTACCTTTGTTGGTATCACTTTGAGAAAGCCAAGTTACAGGGAACCAGGCAGAGGGCCTTCTCGTAGTGGGTGCCTGCCCTGTGAAACGCCCTCCCACCAGATGTCAAAAGAGAAGAACAACGACCAGACTTTTAGAAGACATCTGAAGGCAGCCCTATTTAGGGAAGCTTTTAATGTTTAACAGACCACTGTGTTTTAATACTTTGTTGGAAGCCACCCAGGGTGGCTGGGGAGACCCCAGTCAGATGCGCAGGGTATAAATAATAAATATAATAATAATATAATATTATTATTATTATTATTATTATTATTATTATTATTATTTCTTCATGAACTTACCTAAAAAGATAAATAAAACAAAAGACGTGAGTTAAGCATTTAAAAAATCTATTGAAATCAGACATTGTAAGTTCATCTTAGACTGGGCAGTTTGCAAGTTTCTGTGGCTTTGCACAAGGTTTTGTATTTTTCTCAGAAGATTGATAAAGAATGTGTAATTATTTTGGTAATTATTGTGTGTATATTAGTTGCCAATGTGTTGCAAGAGTCGTACTACATCCTTCCCACTGCAGTATTTTGGTTAGCCACTGTGAGAACAGGATACTGCCCTTAGAGGGCAATCATTCTCCTGATCCTGCAGGCTCTCCTTAGGACTCCAGCCCTGGCACTGACTACATCCCTGGGTAGGACAAGTGAAAACCCAGTATAAAATGTGCCGTGGCTCAGCTCGGCTGCTTTTACTGTTGGGTATTGATTTAGAAGGGGGCGTGGGTGGCGCTGTGAGTTAAACCACAGAGCCTAGGGCTTGCCGATCAGAAGGTTGGCAGTTCGAATCCCCGCGACGGGGTGAGCTCCCGTTGTTCGGTCCCTGCTCCTGCCAACCTAGCAGTTCAAAAGCACGTCAAAGTGCAAGTAGATAGATAGGTACCACTCCGGCGGGAAGGTAAACAGCGTTTCCGTGTGCTGCTCTGGTTCGCCAGAAGCGGCTTAGCCATGCTGGCCACATGACCCGGAAGCTGCACACCGGCTCCCTCGGCCAGTAAAGCGAGATGAGCGCCGCAACCCCAGAGTCGGCCACGACAGGGATCCCTTTACCTTTATTGATTTGGAAATGTTCCTGGCCTTCCAAGATCCACCTGCTTCTAAAATGAATGCCAGCATTCTGACTTGGAGGTTGCTGGGGCAGCAGCTGGCTGTGTTCCTAAGATGTGGGGCGAGTGGAAAAAAGAAGCCCTAGCAACCAGCAACACGGAAATTTTCATCCTGTGCTAAATCCTCTGCAGAACCAACTTGTTAGAATTTGCAAACATTCCCCCCCCCCCCGCCCCAGCTCACCTTAGATGGCTTTTGTTGCTTGGAAGAAGGTGTGAGGGTTGAGGAGGTACTTGGCAGTAAGTACCAGTTAGCTCAGCCAGCCAGGGCATTGCTGGAAAGACCTTGAATCTTTGCTTCTCTTGTTTTCTTCGAGATTGGAGAAGGCTAATCTGCTGCCTTGGGCTACACCTCCCATCAGCCACAGCCGGTCCAGAGGCACCCTGTGTAAACTCCTTTGGAAGGCTTATGCCCAGGCCCAGGCAGAGGGGGTCACATGGGCCACTTGGCCTGAGCCTCTGATTCCAAATGGGGACCTCGGTCAGCATATTCACAATCGCAGGGGATGCACTGGGGCAGAGGCGCAAAGGCGGTGGGCAGAGGAGTGGGATGAGTTTCAATATATTAAAACGAATTAAGTCTTTCTTTCAAGCAACAATAGCTCAAGAACGCCTACATGGTTTAGCAATGATAAACATAAACCACAATAAGGCGAAGTTGCTTGATTTTTCCTGCGTAATTCAAGAATTCGCAGAAAAGAAAGCTAGGAAGGCATTTTTAAATGTAAATACTTAAAATAATCCTTTTCCCTGTGTATTTTTAAAAAGCACTATGGTATATCTATATTTTCCATTTTGCCTTTATATGCAGATACGGTTCAAGCCTTGAAATAAAATTATTTGTCAGCATATCTTTTGTGAAAATTATGTATATACTTATTTATAAGACTTCAGTTATCCAAAGGGGGGGGCACATTATTTACCTGGCCCCGGCCTCTGCCTGGCTCTGCGAGGCCCTGCTTATGCCATAACAAATAAGCCAGCCCAGGGATGTCTTAGCCCAAGGGGGCCCTTATTCCCATCAGGGCCACATGCCTGTGGTGGGTTGGGGCCAGAGGTAAAAGTGGGGGGGGGGGAGGCAATATAAATTTTATCTTTGCTGCTAGCAACAATCGCTTTGCTCTGCCTCCACAGCTGGAGGCAGTAAGTCGTCTGCATCCCAGTTGCTGGAAACTTCAGGAGGGGAGAGGGCTCTCGAACTCAAGTCCTGCTTGTGGGCTTCCTATTGGGGCTTCTGGGTGGCCGCTGTGAGAACAGGATGCTGGAGTAGGCCGATTTTTGCATGCTTACACGCCACCCCCCCCTCATCCAGACGAGCAAAATGCATTACAGTTGTACCTCAAGTTACAAACGCCTCAGGTTACAAACGCTTCAGGTTACAAACTCCGCCAACCTGGAAGAGTTACCTCAAGTTGAGAACGTTGCCTCAGGATGAGAACGGAAATCATGTGCCGGTGGCGCAGCGCCTCTAGTTAAGAACAGTTTCAGGTTAAGAACAGACCTCCGGAACAAATTAAGTTCATAACTAGAGGTACCACTGTATTGGGGTTCAAAGACAACATTCCAGTCAGGTCAAGGAAAAAACGGTGTGTGGAGAAGCAAGGAAGGCCAGTGATGGGTGTGGTCTGCAGAGAGTTTGAGGGCCAGGCAGAGAGGTGCAGGGGCCATATTTGTTCTCTGGGAGCCTGAGGTTCCCCACCCCAAGTTAGCCTTTTGGGTGCCGCAAAGTTCCTTGCCGGTTTTGTGGCTGTGTGATGGTTTCCTTCCTTCCTTCCTTCCTTCCTTCCTTCCTTCCTTCCTTCCTTCCTTCCTTCCTTCCCTCCCTCCCTTTTTTATTAAAAATGCCGTAAAATGGCTACATACAAATTCAATAAAACCAAGAATACAGCACAAAGTGATACATAGTTTAGCAATTTCAGTTCCAGAGCCACAATGTGTTGATTAAAACCTGAGAAAATAAAATTGTTTTCTGACCACCTGCCTATATTATACGAAGCAGGTGCCAGGCAAATGTCGTTTTACATGGTCTTAAAACAGTCCGTATAGGTTCTCCACGGATGGGTTTGTCAGGCTGGCAGGAGAACTTTCCTTTCCTCTTCTCTTAAGTATGAAGAGAAGGGAGATACTGTGCGGTTCTTACGCATAACAAAAGTACCTTTTCGGTGGCAGTGTCTTTACTGTAAAAAGGAGGAGGGTCCCTCATTTTGATTCCTTTTGAGGGGGTCAGCAGGGAATATATGGCTCTGCTCTCGGAACGTAAAACATTTTGCACAACGGCCCTTGTACAAACAACAGGGCATTCAGACCAGACAATCAAAGGGAGCGTTTATGCTTGACAAACAGAAGGGTGTCTCTAGAGGGCTGGATCTCCACTGCCCATTGGAGCAGCGGGCAGAGATTGGAGGGAGTGCCAGGGCCGGCCTCTGATTGGCAAGCCAGGTCTGGCATCCGCAGGTCTGGGCTGGGCTCTGGTTGGAGCAGGAGGGCACCTTTGAATGCACACCTTAGTTGGCTTTGTATGTGCAGTTACTGAGAGCCCAAGCGGCGTCTGTTTGCATAGCTGTAGAGTGGAGGCTCAGAGGCTGCTGTTGTTCTTGGCGGGAGTCCATTTTGGAGAGTGGCTGTGCACTTGATCCAAGCAAGGTCAGCGAGCCTGAGAGTCTCACTGGGTGTGCACGTGGACAGCCGCAGGAAATAACCTGGAGCGCAGCAAAAAGCCTGTCCAGCTGCAGTGGACAATTGCATGGAAGGATCACTCCCCCAGGCAAGTGTTGCGATGGGTCTTGCAGGTTTGGGCTGTTGTCCCTTCTCCCCGCCTCGCTGCTTGCCCAGCCCTGATCTCCTCCTTGGAAATATCCTTTATTGTAAATGACCTCCTGCTCCAACTCCCTTTGCTCAGAGTGGGAGCCTGAAAAAGTCTCACCTGGAAAAGGCAAGTGATGTCTTAACCCTTGTTCCCTTGCAGAACCCCTAAATGTTTAGTGTGTGATTTGTGGCAGCCATGGAAAGAGAAGAGTCTTAGTTCGGTGGTGGAGGAAATCTTGCTTCAGATCCCCAGTGGCATCTCCTGGTAGGGCTGGAAATCTTCCGTGCCTGAAGCCCTGGAAAGCTGCTGCCAGCCAGTGTTGACAGTCCTGGGACTGATGGGCTGAGTCAGCCTAGGGCATCTTGCTATGGGGGTCCTGGTCTTGGGGACTCCTTGGCTGTTGCGTGTGGGGAAAACGAGGCAAAGTGGCTCTGCAATGTATGTTTTTATTAGAAGTAAGGTTGTCTGCAACTGTGTCTGACTCAGAGTAGACCCACTGAAACTGGCCATGTCCGTTAATGTCAACTACAGCTCATAACGTTTGTCTAGCGAACAGCTGAACAACTTCCCCTGAGGAAAGGATCACATATGGAATTACTCGTTTAATAACAATTGCACCTTATCAGCCTTGCATCTTATCTGCTGAAAATATGTGCCCTATTTTTCTTTCTTTCCTGGATGTGTGCAAGATAGTTAATTGCAATTAAACCTGTTAATTAGGCATGTGTTTGTGTAGCTCTTGGATGTGGATTCTCCTCTCAGCTGAGCAATTACTAGGCATTTTCATGCCACTCGTCAGTCAAAAAAGGCTTACAAATGTCCCACCCTTGCAATCTAAGGTCACATCCAAACCAGACATGATTTAAATCCCATTTCCCTCCCCCAAAGGATCCTGGGAACTGCACTTTGTTTAAGGGTGCTGAGAACTGTGAGGGGTGAACTACAGTTCCCAGAATCCTTTGAAGCAAGCAACATGCTTTTAAATATATGGGTGTGGGTGTGGCCTATGAGACATGACACAAAAGGAAAGGGGAGTGGGAGGGAAGAGGAGGTGAAAGCAGGTCCAGGCTCTAATTCTTAGTTACAGTCAGTGCTTTTTCGGGGGGGGGGGTATTCAAGGGTACGCAGTACTAGCACCTTTTTCCCTAGCCTTGAAGAAAAGCACTGGTTACTTGCCGGAGCCAGAATGTCAATGGTTGCAAGGAATAAAAAATCAGAGTAAAATTGCTGGTCTTTTTAGCCATATTAATAGAGCAACCCTCTAGTTCCAACTCTCTTCCTTTGCCTGATGCAATGGCTGCTGAGCTGACTGCTCCTGTTGCTCCTGACCATTGGCCGTGCTGGCTGGAGTGGATGGGAGTTGTTGACAAAAACGGGTAAAAAGGTAAAGGACCCCTGGACAGTTAAGTCCAGCCAAAAGTGACTATGGGGTTGCGGCATGCATCTTGCTTTTCAGGCCAAGGGTGCCGGCGTTTGCGTGGCGAGTTCCTGCCTCCCACCAGTAGAAATAAAGACACATGACACCATTATTTTAGGTTAATGGGCTAAAATTGCCCGCAACTTTATCGGTTACAGGTGATGAGCGGTATTGGCTTAGGCATTGGTCCTATCCAACTATCCGGCTTCGGCCTGCTTGCTTGAAGACCCGGAAGGGTTAACACCAGCAGGGGGAGCCCTGCTGATGCACATCGACTAGGGACTCCCCCGGGGTCACCGCTCGGGGGCGCACTTTAGGCCCTGGCCTCCATAGGCTTCGGACGAGGCCACGCCCCGGAATCCTTTACTAGACTACCCTTCAATATTTGGGGGAGGTGATGGCGTTCCTCCCCCCCAACACATCTACATAACAATACCCCTACCAATGCCTAACCGCCAAAACCAAAGGAGTTGTGACGATTTGCTATGAGGTGGGCGAAAACCCCAATGGCCGGTGCCAATTTGCCAAGTGGAAAAAATTCCTACCAGGCCCCTTAAAGGCGACCAACCGAGGTCCATAGCGAGGTCAGAAGGGGAACCTTAAAGGGTGGGTGGGTGGGTGGGAAAACCTCCCTTTCACAAGCTGCGTGGAGCGTGTGAAGAGACTGAGGATAAACAGCAGCAAAACCCCACACCCACTGATGAAAGTTGTGAATCTGAAACTGACTCAGATGGCTCAGCAGCAAAACCCCACAGAGCGTGTGTGCAGCGCTTGCAGGCTTTTCCCCGAGGAGGGAGACGTGTTGTCCTTCTCCCTCCTCTGGGAAAAGCCCCCAAGAGCCGCACACACGCTCCACGCGGCTCTTTAAAGGGAGCGCGGCTCTTGGGGGCTTTTCCAGGAGGTGGTGGAAGGGACAGAGCGTGACTAAGCCAGAAGCTAAAACAGCGAGAGGGAGCACTGCGCAGTGATCCCTCTCGCTGTTCTGGCTTCTGGGATAGCTGCGCAGCCTGCATTCGCTCCATAAGACGAACACACATTTCCCCTTACTTTTTAGGAAGGAAAAGGTGCGTCTTATAGAGCAAAAAATACGGTAGCTTGCAACATCTTTTTTTTTAAAAAAAGGAAAACCAACTTTTTTTTGTGTTGCTGTAAACAATGCAAGTGCAGGAATGGAAACAAACAAGATTCCGGTCAATAATTGCACAGTTTTGCAAAGATGCATCAAGTTATGACGGAGGTTTAACGAACAATTGCTGTCACAATCCGAAATAGAGTATGTGCAAACGGGAAATAAAAAAGTGAAGGAGAGGGAGGGAGGGAGGGAGGAAAGGGGGGCGAGGAAAGAAGCCAGCAAAGTGATAAGGGAAGGTATCAAGTGGAATCAGAATTGTACAGTTTGAAGAGACCCTGAGCATCATCTAGTCCAGGGGTCAGCAAACCTTTTCAGCCGTGGGCCGGTCTACCGTCCCTCAGACCTTGTGGGGGGCCAGACTATATTTTCTGGAGGGGAAATGAACAAATTCCTATGCCCCACAAATAACCCAGAGATGCATTTTAAATAAAAGCACACATTCTACTGATGTAAAAACACGCTGAGTCCCGGAGCATCTGCGGCCCGGATTTAGAAGGCGATTGGGCCGCATCCAAACCCCTGCAATGCAGAAATATTCAGCTGTCCCATATGGGGATCAAACTTGCAACCTTAGCATTATCAGCACCACAATCTACCCAACTGAGCTATTTAGTGGGTGGACCCTTTTTATTTATATATTTATGATCTTTAAGAACAATATTCATATGCTCTCAACAGAATTTCAAAAGGATTATATCTAAGCCCCCCCCCCGTCTGACCGTCCAGAATTCTTTAAACATTGCCCATCCTTGCTAGAATCTGTTTATATTCTTTTCCCTCGTTGAACCCAAAGGAATCCATCTTGCCACATTCTTTACGAGCTTGTGGGAATTGTTTCCATGCTGGCTGCCGGGTAAGGGAAACTCCATCCTCTGCAGCCTTCATGGATGTGAAGGCTAGAAATATCTTTTTTAAAAATTGGCCTTCTAGCCAGCAGACTGGCAGAAGAGGAACAGAGGGTGATTCTCTACCACCAGTTGCTTGGTGGCTCAGGCAAGGGTAGGCTAGAAATTCCTGGTTGGACAGGCAACAGCACCTTGGAGAGCAGACTAAGGTTTGGGTTAAGGACCACGGACAGCTCTCCTGCAAGTGGGGCCAGGCATACAAGTTGTCTCAGCGAGAGATTGCTTTGACCAGCAGACTCCACTGGCCTCCTCCAGTCAGCCTGTGCTAGGAAGGTGTAATTCTCTGGAGCGTTCAGTCTCTCCCAACACAAAGACAGAACAGGCAATCTCTTCAGATGGGAGGATAATTCTTCTGTCTCTGTGCCTGCCACTGTTCTCCCCAGAGCTTAGCTTCTCCCAGTTATGAGGCATGCTCAAAACAGCCATACATCACCAGAGATGGAGAACTTTAAAGTGTTAAGATCAGAAGGCGGAAAACATGAAAACAACGAGAAGAGGCAGGAACGAAGATTTGGAGATATGCTTTAGAGGTCCAGACTATGGGGAGCCCGGAAAAATGAATAATTACAATTTAGACTACAATTTGGCCGTTTTTTTATTTTAGTTTATTGTTTTTAATCAGATTATGATGCGGATATGTTGATTGGCTGTTTTTATTGGGAAATTAATAAAAATGATTTAAAAAACAGCAACAGTCATACATCAGGGTGCAATTAATTCTTCCTTACTTACATGCTGCAAAAGTAAACCTCATTTATTCACTTCTGTATATATATCCCACTGTATATATATTCCCCCCCCACACATTTAATCCCCACAACAATCTTGGGAGGTAGACTAGGCTGAGAGACAGTGACCAGCCCAAGGTCCCCCTATGAACTTCTGGGTTCAAGTGGGGATTTGAAACTTGGCCTACCAAATCCCAATCCAACCACTACAACCACACTGACTCACTTGCTGGGTATAAAAATGAGCCATCCCTTCAGTTTTTAATTCAGGGGGAGCAAAACACGTGTAAGCTACCAGGAAGTGTTTAAAAAGATGCAGCACGCAAGTATAGGTGCAAATTTATGTTTTAATTTTCTCTCCCTCCCCTGCAAGGCGTTCCCTGCCCTGGGCGGTCAGTACTCACCCCAAACGGCGAGTTGAAGATGTCCGACCCATTTTCTGGGCCTCCAGGCCGAAGAGTTACATCTACCGAACTCAGGAATGGGATGAGTTTCCTAATGGCCGCTGGTGAGTGTGGCGGGGGGGGGGAGGTGGATGTATCCCTCTGGAAAGATCTGGTTGAACTGGGAAGCGATGGGAGGCCTATCTGAATTAAAACAGAAGATGCCAGAAAGATGCAACGGTTATAGACCAGTTGAGGTAGTTATATATAATTTTTATTAAATTTTACATTTCAAAATATTCTTTTAAACAACCTTAAATCCGTGACATCCCTTCTTCTCTTTCCGTGGTTCATTTTGCATACCATACGCCCTGCGTATTTTACATGAACTAAACCATTCAGGAAACCATTGTTACATCCATCCAAACTTATTTACCCTGCTGAATTTATCTTAATGCTGTCAGCATTTTTAAATGAACACAATTTTCACCCATATATTCAGTAAACGTTTTCCAGTCTTCTCTAAATGTATGTTCTTCTTGTTCTCTTATTCTAGATGTTAAATCTGCAAGTTGCGCATATTTCATCAGTTTAAGTTGCCATTCTTCTTTGGTTGGGACCTCGTTTGTTTTCCATTTTTGGGCTAACAAGACATGGGCTGCAGTAGTAGCCTACATAAATAGTCTTTTTTGACACCTGGGAATTTCCCTCTACTGATAGGTTAATGGAATGACTTATCTCTTGGGCCTGTTAATTTCAGCGGGGCTACCCTAAGTAAAACCTAGTTGACTGAAACCCATAGGATTGTCTCCTCCCAAGTCCAGAAAAGACCCTATACTTTCTGGGCAGATTTCCTTGTTTCGTTCTGTAGTAAATGGGCGCCCAGCCACTTGCCCCTCCCTCACCTGTCTTTGCTCTCCGGCCAGATCAGGTTTCTTGAGCAAGGCTGGCAAACCCATTTACTTTTCAGAAACAGGACAAAATAGAACTGGTAGAGCTGCCACCACTCCCTCGACCCAGGGTTACCAGAAGCCACAGCTCAAGGGAGTCAGCTGTGCTCCTTTGTTACTGGCTAACCCCAAACTACAAGTTGCTTCCACAAGCTTGCAGGCAGGAATCCTTTGGTAGAGCGTAACCAAGAAGTCTAGGCGTTGGAATTAGCTATTCCCCCGGATAGGCACACACAATACAAGAGAAAGTTTCTTTCTTAAAAATTTATTTTAAAACGTAAAGAACATGCTAAAAAGCAGGCACATCTTTTGGTAAATTACAAGTACAGAAAAATAAGAACGTTGTAAATGATAGCTGACTATATACTCTCTTCTATACTCTAAGGCAAAGATAGGATAGTTAGAGTCTTTCAGAAATCCGCATCCAAAGGTCTCAGAAAATCTTCAACGCAAAAGCACAAAAGGACGAAAAGACGGCTGCTTTGGTGGACATCAGCAGCCGGGCGATTCTTTGCGAATTGCAGAGCGCGCCTTTCAAACCATTCTCAAGATCTTTTCTCCATAATTCGCACGTGGAATCAGAAACCCCCAAACACAGTCAGAACCCTGGATTATTTTTGAATCCTCCAATGACCAGCTTGTGGGCTAATAATTCTAACTTGTGGCAGCTGAGCCAATTAAGCCTTCAGAACCCAGATCAAGGTGTTTCCTCCCTTCCGATGGAGACTGGTGGAGCTTAGGCAGATGTACATTCCCAAGTAATTAAGGATAGATAACATTACAGAGGGTATGTTCATAACTTTGAACGCAGGTGTAAACCTTCAATTTAGCCCGAAATTTCCTTTCCCATAGTCATCCTCTCACGCCCTTGGAGCCAACAGGCTCACGGGTTAAAGCAACAGGACGGTTCCCATAATTCTTACTGGTTTCCCACAAGGCCTCATTTTCCACTTGACCAAAGAAAAGCTGCTAAGAAAGTACTAACTTTACTACACATTCCCTTGTTCGATTCATTATTTCATGAAATGGATATACCACTTGACTGTATAAAATCAAAAAATCAAATGAGCCTCGAAGCGGTTTGCGAAAAAGACAAAACGATAAAATTTATCGGTAAGAACAGCGATAATGTAATACTTTCAAGAGCTCAAGTTCACAACTAGCTAAAAACAGATGGAAATATGCATCAGTTTTCTAAACCTCTGGGTGGGCTTCACGAATGTTTCTAGCACAGAGTACAGTGAAGGCAGCTGCCTGATGTCCATAGGCAGGAAGTTCCAGAGTTTGGGTATTGCCACACGAAAAGATGGACTTCTTATAAATTTAGAACAGGGATTCTGTGGTCCCTGCAACAGTTCTGCTGATGGGAGCAGTCAAGTGGGTGAATGTGGGGGAGGCCATCTTGCCCGTAAGGGGGCTTGTTCCTGCCCTGCCCTAACATGCCTTCTCTCCCGCAACCCTCAGGGGTAACTCATCCTCCCCAGCCTTTGGGGAGCTGAAGGATTATTACCTCTTCTACCTGAAGAGCAAATCTCCCAGGGACGAGCTGCTGAAGATGTGGGGCGAGGAGCTGACCAGCGAGGAAAGCGTCTTCGAGCTGTTCAGGTGTTACATCGCCGGAGAGCCCAACAAGGAGGGGCACAAGGTGAGAGATTCAGGGAGGGCCCTGGCCCATGAACCTCCACATAGGGGGTGAACAAGTGTGGGCGTCCGGTCTCTGGAGTCCTGACCCAAGTCTCACATACCCTCCAATATTTCTCCAGTGAAAATGGGGGCGTCCTATTCCGTTGTTGTTATTGTTATACCAGACCCATCTGACTGGATTGCCTCAGCCATTCTGGGTGTCTTTCAACATCAATAAAAACATAATAAAACACACACACACACACGTAAATTTTATTAAATTTTCCGCTTTACAATTTAGAATATTCATTCAAACAACCTTAAAATATCAATGGCTTTCCTTCTTCCCTTTCCATGGTTCATTTTGCACAACATAAATCCCTACATATTTTACATAAACTATACCATTCAGTATTCCATTACAGTGGTTTGTTGTTGTTTAGTCGTTTAGTCGTGTCCGACTCTTCGTGACCCCCTGGACCAGAGCACGCCAGGCACCTCTGTCCTCCACTACCTCCCGCAGTTTGGTCAAACTCATGCTGGTAGCCTCAAAAACACTATCCAACCATCCTCTGTCGCCCCTTCTCCTTGTGCCCTCCATCTTTCCCAGCATTGGTCTTCTCCAGGGAGTCTTCTCTTCTCATGAGGTGGCCAAAGTACTGGAGCCTCAGCTTCAGGATCTGTCCTTCCAGTGAGCACTCAGGGCTGATTTCCTTCAGAATGGATGCGTTTGATCTTCTTGCAGTCCATGGGACTCTCAAGAGTCTTCTCCAGCACCATAATTCAAAAGCATCAATTCTTCGGCGATCAGCCTTCTTTATGGTCCAGCTCTCACTTCCATACATCACTACTGGGAAAACCATGGCTTTAACAGTGGTACCTCGGGTTAAGTACTTAATTTGTTCTGGAGGTCCGTTCTTAACCTGAAACTGTTCTCAACCTGAAGCACCAATTTAGCTAATGGGGCCTCCTGCTGCTGCCGCGCCACTGCTGCACAATTTCTGTTCTCATCCTGAAGCAAAGTTCTTAACCCGAGGTACTATTTCTGGGTTAGCGGAGTCTGTAACCTGAAGTGTATGTAACCTGAAGCGTCTGTAACCTGAGGTACCACTGTATTACATCCCTCAAAACTTATTTACACTGTTGAATTTATTTTAATGCTGTCAACGTTTTCAAGTGTACACAATACCACCGCCCCCATATATTCAATAAACATTTTCCAATCTTCTTTAAATGTGTGTTTTTCTTGTTCTCTTATTCTATACGTTAGGTCCGCAAGCTGCGCATATTCCATCAGTTTTAAACTTGAACTGATAAAATATTTTAAAAACTTCCCTCTACAGGGCTGCCTTCGGATGTCTTCCAAAGGTCGCGTAGTTACTTATCTCCTTGGCTTGGGGGAGAGGGTCGCATAACTCCATACCCTCCAACATTTCTCTGATGAAAATTTTGTTGTTTAGTCGTGTCTGACTCTTCGTGACCCCCTGGACCAGAGCACGCCAGGCACTCCTGTCCTCCACTGCCTCCTGCAGTTTGGTCAAACTCATGCTGGTAGCTTTGAGAACACTGTCCAACCATCTCGTCCTCTGTCATCCCCTTCTCCTTGTGCCCTCCATCTTTCCCAACATCAGGGTCTTTTCCAGGAAGTCTTCTCTTCTCATGAGGTGGCCAAAGTCTTGGAGTCTCAGCTTCACGATCTGTCCTACCAGTGAGTACTCAGGGCTGATTTCCTTCAGAATGGATGCGTTTGAGCTTCTTGCAGTCCATGGGACTCTCAAGAGTCTCCTCCAGCACCATAATTCAAAAGCATCAGTTCTTCAGTAATCAGCCTTCTTCTGATGAAAATAGGGACTCTCTAAAAGGGGGACATTCTGGAATCAAATCAGAAACCAGGGCGGCTTCTGTAGATCCATAAATGCCCCTGGAAAATAGGGACACTTGGATGGTCTTGTTTCAGGCATTGCTTTCTGCTCCTCGGCTGTGAATTGTAGGAACCAACTGCTTTATACCAAGTCTGAACTTTGGTCCCATCTAGCTCAGTATTGCCTACACTGACTGGCAGCAATGGCTCTCCTAGTCCCAGCCCTACCTGGAGATGCCAGGAATTGAACCCAGGGCCCTTATGGATGCTGAGCAGGCCCTTCTCTACTGCTGAACTGCAGCCCCACAGTAAAAGGTGCTTGAAGGAACTTTGAAAATGTCAAGGAGATGAGTAACTAGACACCTGAAGGCAGCCCCGTATGGAGAAGCTTTTTAATGTTTTATTTTGTCCTCTTTTGTGTGCCTCCTCCTCGAGAGGTCCAGAGGGTGGCAACACGAGAACAGGGCCTTCTCTGCAGTGGCTCCCCGTCTATGGAATGCTCTCCCCAGGGAAGTTTGCCTGGCGCCTTCATTACACACCTTTAGGTGCCAGGCAAAAAAGTTCCTTTTAAACCAAGCCTTTGGTTGATTTGATTTACATCCTATGCCCTTTTAAAAGGTGTGGGGTTTTTGTTTTTTGGAGGGGAGGACTATTGGGTGGTTGTTTTTATTTTTAATTTTGTGGTTTTATATCTTGATTTTTTTCTGTGAATCGCCCTGAGACCCCTGGGTATAGGGCGGTATATAAATTCAATAAATAATAATAATGCTTTTAATATATGTTGGAAGCTGCTCAGAGTGGCTGGGGCAACACAGTCAGATGGGCAGAGTACAGTGGTACCTCGGGTTACAGACGCTTCAGGTTACGGACGCTTCAGGTTACAGACTCCGCTAACCCAGAAATAGTACCTCAGGTTAAGAACTTTGCTTCAGGATGAGAACAGAAATCGCACGGAGGCAGCGGGAGTCCCCATTAGCTAAAGTGGTACCTCAGGTTAAGAACAGTATCAGGTTAAGAACGGACCTCTGGAACGAATTAAGTACTTAACCTGAGGTATCACTGTACAAATAAATTATTGTTATGGTTAACACATGTGTGTGTCTGCTTGAGGTATAACAGGGGGGAGGAATTTTAAAATTTAAGGGGATTTGGAAACATGGGAGAAAGCTGTGCATTTGTGTGCACACCCAACCTGCCCTCTCCCCTTTCCAAAATATTGATAGTTTCTCTCTCTCCCCCCCCCCATAGGTGACCTGCCTGCCTTGGAACGATGAACCTCTGGCGCCCGAGACCAACCTTATGAAAGAAGAGCTGGCCAAGGTGAACAGGAGAGGGATCCTGACCATCAATTCCCAGCCGAACATCAACGGCAAGCCCTCCACCGACCCGATTGTGGGCTGGGGTCCCGACGGAGGCTACGTCTTCCAAAAGGTAACATGGCTGGGGACATTATGCTCTTCTCTCCTTCCCTTCCATCTCTCAGTCCAAGCAGTTCTGTCCTCTTTCATAAGATCAATTTTTGTGTGAAAGGAAGAACCACACTGCCTTTCGTGGCAAAGCTTTAGGCACTTCCAGGGGTCAGGCTGGATGACCTCTGGGGTCCCTTCCACTCCACAGTTCTGCGATTCCAAGTCGTGTGCTATGGCAAATTAGGAAGGTAGATTTGTTTGACATGTTTATAGGCTGCTGTTCAGGGTCCGGTTTCAGGAAATGCTATACATCGCTCAGTAGGGATAGGAACACAGGAAGTTAGTTGTCTTTTAACATGAAGTCATATACAGTGGTACCTTGGTTCTCAAACACCTTGGTTCTCAAACGCTGAAAACTTGGAAGTGTTCAGGCAGCTAGTCCTAGTCTTTATAACCCTGTACCTTCTTCCAGAAGGCAGAAGCTGAAAGAGATCATTTCCGGGTAGCGCACTATCCTGCACTCTCTCTGCCGCTTTCTTATGGCACCTGGAAGAATAGAATTGATCCAAGGTGGGAAGAGTGCACCCAATTATTCTCTCCGCAGTCTTTACAACCCTGGACAACATTGTTTTTCGCCTGACCGTGAAGCTCCCAAACCACACACACAGACCATAATACACTCTCCACAGTGCAATAGTAAAATGCCATCAACAGGTCCTTTCAACCCTTCTCTTTAGACACAGGAACATAGGAAACTGTGTTCTGCTTAGTCAAGCCATTGCTCTGTCCAGCTCGGTCTCATCCATACGGACTGGTAGCAGCTCTCTGACGTTTCAGACCAGACTCTCTCCCAGGCAGACCTGGAAATGCGGAGGGTTCAACCTGGTCCCCGAGGCCTTCTGCATGCCAGGCAGGTGTTCTGCCACTGGGCTGTGGCTCGTCCCCTCGTCCTTTAGCTTGAAAAGTTGATCTGTAGCTGTAACTTGGCCCAAGCAATTCTCCATACTTGGTAGGCGTACACAAAGGTAAGGGGACCTCAGGCCGCAGGCAGCCTGGCCTAGTGGGAAGATTAATTGACCCAGCAAGATCAGATCTGATGAAGCATCACTTGCTACAGAGGAAGTATTACAAAATAACTTCCTTCAAGGCAGACAGCTTCTCCATAGGCAAGTGGTATGTTTTAGCAACGATATCCAACTGGATCCCTAAATAAAATGGGAATATGGGCAAAAGGTATTGAGCTATTGCTTGCCAGCTTCCAGCCCCCACTTGGGCAGGGGGCATCTTGTGCTGCCATCATGATATGTAAATTTACAGGGCCGACGCTGGCCAGAACCCCTAAAGAAGTCCCGACAAAGCTGCCGCCGAGCCAGCTTCCTTTTCAGACACACACTCTGCAATGCAAAAAACACACTCCGTGCAGTGCACACACTCTTCATGCAATGCAACTACACACTCCGTGCAATGCAAAAAACACGCTCTGTGCAATGCAACTACACACTCCGTGCAATGCACGCACAAACCCTCCGTGCAATGCAACTACACACTCCGTTCAATGCAACTACACACTCCCTGCAAAGCAAAACACACTCCATGCAATTCAACTACATTCCATGCAATGCAACTACATTCCATGCAATGCAACTACACACTCCGTGCACTGCACACACCCTCCGTTCAATGCAACTACATACTCCGTGCAATGCACACACACTCTGTGCAATGCAAAAAACACACTCTGTGCAATGCAACTACACCCTCCATGCAATGCCCTCACCCTCCGTGCAATGCACACACCCTCCGTGCAATGCAACTACACACTCCGTGCAATGCAACCACACCTTCCGTACAATGCAACAACCCACTTCGTGCAATGCAGCAACCCACTTCGTACAATGCAACAACACACTTTGTGCAATACAACAACACACTTTGTGCAATACAACAACACACTTTGTGCAATACAACAACACACTTTGTGCAATACAACAACACACTTTGTGCAGTGCAACTACACACTCCGTGCAATGCACACACACCCTCCATGCAATGCACACACCCTTCGTGCAATGCAACTGCAAATCTCTCACGCAATGCAATGCAATTGCAGCCCATGCAGCGCCGTGCTCTGCAACGCACAGAGCAAACTGCAATGCGGGCACGCAAAGGTGCTTTCTCCCAGTTGCATATTGCAAACGTGGCGCCCGTTACGTCCCTCGCAGTGAGGTAACCACCAAAAGGACCTAAGTGTCCAGGTAGAGCAATGGGGGAGCATGCAGCTCCAGGAAGGATTTTTGCATTGGGCTACTCCAAACTCACTGTCAAATCACATGTCTGTGACCACAGCATGAACCACCAAAATCATACATCCACTGTTTCGTTCAGAATTCCCCCCCCCCCCCCCGGTTTTCCTCCTCTAAAAACTAGGTGCATCTTATGGAGCGAAAATACGGTAAATATTGCCTTCAGACAGATGGGTGGGGTACAAATAAAAAAAATTATCATCCTCATCATCACTCGATAACCCTCTCCTCCATGAATTTGTCTTTTTTAAAATCAGTGGCTGTTGGTGCTTCTTGTGGCAGTGAGTTCCACAGTTTAACTGTGAAATACTTTTCTTTGGTCCAACGTTCGGCTTCATTGGATGTCTGGCATTATGGGAGCGCGAGAAGCACATTATCAGTGTTCCCCACGGCTTGCGTTTCCTTTTCCATGCCACGCATTAGTTTTCCCTCCTAAAAATAAAATAAATGTGACAAGCAGCCCATAAGATGGACCGCGCATAATTTTATAAAGTTCTGCCTCGTTGCCTCTTTCTCACATTTCCCTCTAAACCAAAAAAATCCCCAAATGTTGAAACCTCTCTGCATGTGGGAGACGTTCCGACTTTGGCTGGTGTTTCCTGAAACTCTTCCCAACTCCACGATACCCTTTTGGGAGGGTGGGGACCGCATGGGGAGAGCAGTGTTGTTAGCAGAAATATGAATCACCCCACACTTAGTCCTTTTGCATTTTCTCTCTTTGTTGGAAGCTGCCTTAAAGGTAAAGGGACCCCTGACCATTAGGTCCAGTCATGGCCGACTCTGGGGTTGTGGCACTCATCTCGCTTTATTGGCCGAGGGAGCCGGCGTACAGCTTCCGGGTCATGTGGCCAGCAGGACTAAGCCGCTTCTGGCGAACCAGAGCAGCGCACAGAAACGCCGTTTACCTTCCTGCCGGAGCGGTACCTCTTTATCTACTTGCACTTTGATGTGCTTTTGAACTACTAGGTTGGCAGGAGCAGGGACCGAGAAGTGGTCAGCCAGATGGGCGGGGAACAAAAGAATAAATAAATATGATAATTCCAGATCCAACACAATTAGCCTTCCTCCCCTGTCTAGCCACCGCCGGTATGAAATTGTGTCTTCATTTTTTCTTTTTTTAAAATCATTTTTATTGATTTTCCAATAAAAATAGCCAATCAAGATACCCATAGTTCCTCCTGCACTCCCACCCCCACCTCAAATTGTTTTTAAGTGTGACCTGCTTCTCTCTCTCTCTGCCCCCCTCGGACAGGATGAGGCCTTTGCCCTGTGGATTGAGCAGTGGGCGAAGCTGTATGAAGAGGAGTCCCCCTCTCGCATGATCCTCCAGTACATGCACGACAACTATTACCTGGTCAACTTGGTGGACAACGACTTCCCCCTGGACAGCTGCCTCTGGCAGGTCTTGGAAGACATGCACACACTCTTGAACTGTCCGGCAGAACCTTGAAAGTTGAGAAAAGGCACGCAGCCTCCCAGATTTGGCTGGCAGCATAGTCAAAAACCTTAGGGATGCGAGCTTGGAACTACAGTGGCCCAGACACTCCTCTAGGGGGCGCCGTTGGCTGAATTTCCCCCCATTGCCTTCAAAGCGGGAGGCCGGTTAAGACAGGCACATCTCCCTTCTGATCCAAAAGACTCTGAGGATGTTTTCGAGCCCTTCTTGGGTTATTACAATCCCTTTTCCCCTTATACTAATGGCAGCTAGAAATCCTTATCCCCACCCCAACCCCAAATCTCTGTCTGGCCCACCCCCCATGTTTCTGGGTTGCACTCTAAAAAAGAAAGCTTTCAGCTGCTGCTTCAGTGCGCACCCTCTGATCAATGGGACTGATGGCTTCACAAGCCTCTAGTTCAGAACGGGAGTTGCAGAAAATCAGGATGAGCACAGCCGCCTGCGACGCACCTGCCCTCCTCTGGGGAGCCACAGTGTGTGGCCGGCTATTTATTTTGTTTTTATTTTATTATATAGTCGCAGGATTGTGGTCTTCTTCCTGCGTCTTCTCGTTTTCTCTTGCAGGGGAGGGGGAAGTATTTAAAATGCTTGTAAAGGGAAGGAGAGAAGTGAAATTGAAATGAAATAAAATGTAGTTGATGCCTACGTTGACTTGCCTTTTAAAAAAGAACGAGAGGAAGAGCTTGGGACTTACTAGGGACTCACGTTGTAGCAGTGTGGCTGGGGGCACAGCATGGTGAATGCAGGGAGTTATGGTAACGTGGTCCCCCCCAAAAAATCACCCATGGCTGGTGTCCATTGGGACTTGTGGGGCAGAAACACATGGGCGCTGGGTGCCATTTTGAATCAAGATGGCGGAACAAAGCATGACACCGGCATGACTCTACCCATTTGGGGGCATAGTTTCTTGTGATATTGTTGCCAAACTCTACATTAGGGGTTCCTGGAGGGAGTGGGGGCACACTTTTTTAAGCTGTTGGAAAGCTGGGCACCATTTTGCAACAAGATGGTGGACAGAAGAATCACTTTTGCATGGCTTAGGCCTGTTTGGGGGCACAGGTTCAGCGGCATCTTGAGATAATACAAGAGTTCCTGAGGATTGACGTCAATGTTTGGGTGCCTTTTTGCCAGATGGAAACGTGACTTCAGCACGACTTTGCCTGATTTTTGGGGTGGCTGGTCCAAACTCACAAATGATGCTATCCGTTTATAAACACATCTCTTTTTGTTTGTTGTTTAAAAATTCTGAGCACTTCATGCTAGTCTGTAATAATCCGTTTTGAGGCTTAGGGTATATAAACTTCATGAAATATAAATAAAATAAGAAGGGCTATAAACTTTTTTTAAAAAAATGTTTTATTTTGTTTTTAAACATTCTTATACATTCACATCATTTTCAATTTCTACACTTCTGTGATCGCTTAGATCCCTTGGACTCTGCCCCCCCCCATCTAATTACATTTTTCTAATCCATTTTTTACCTTTTTTTTTTTTGTAAAAAAAGGTAATGAATGCCTGACAGTTAAGTCCAGTTGCAGACGACTCTGGGGTTGCGATGCTCATCTCGCTTTACTGGCCGAGGGAGCCGATCTTTGTCCGCAGTTTTTCCGGGTCATGTGGCCAGCATGACTAAGCAGCTTCTGGCGAAACCAG